TTCTCTTTTTAGTTCTAATAAATTAATTAAAAATAAGAAAAATCAATTATTCCTTGCAATTAATTCTACTACATTCTAGTTTCCCTATTATATTGCAATTATGTTAAAATTTGTTTATCCCTAGTGTTGCAATCGTGTCAAGTCGAGCTCGAGATTCTGATACTCAAGTCTGTTCGGCTCGATAATTTGACAGTATTAATGAATTGAACTCGTATCTTAATAACCAGATCTAAGCTAAAATATCGATAAAATTACGTAAAACTCCCTACTATTAATCCGAATTCGAGCCTTAGCTAGTGGATGCTAGCCGAGCTCACTAGCAGCTCGTTTCGTTTAACATTTCAAGTTGACCAATACTCGTTTGAGGTCAAAATGGTTGATTTATTACTCAACTAATCAACTTATACATGACTCAAAGTGTGTAGAAATTCCGTAATTTGTGGCATGAAATGGGCTTTAGGGAGCTTACATTGCAGGGAAGAGAAGGGACATTTGGCCCATGGACCACTCGTATTGTTTACAAATTGGGTGTCTACACAAAGACAATCTTTCCTTGGTGGGAGCCGAAAGTGGATTTGCTATAAATTGTTGTGAAATGAATTAATATTGTTTGCATATGTAAGGATTGGTATTTTGGTCTGTGCTTGCATGTGATCAAGTTAGGTGTTGAGATTGGCTATGATAAATTTATGGCCACCTTATTAAAATGACAAAAAATCTTGATCTTTGGCATCTTGTTCATTCAACCTTGACCAAATTAGTTAAGCTTCTCTTGATTAATAAGCTCTTTGTTGTAGTTTTCTGAATTAAGCTTCTCTTGATCTTTGGCATCTTGTTCATTTAACCTTGACCAAATTAATTAGGATTCTCTTGATTAATAAGCTCTTTGTTGTAGTTTTGTGTATTAAGATTTGGCTATTCGTAGGACATGTCGTGTTNATAAAAAAAGATGTAAAAAAAAAAAAATGCTACTACAATGAAAATTCCCAAAACTAACGAGTATTTATTGGACGGTAGCAAAAGTAGCCAGTAATTTTACTAAATATAATAAGTATGCAATCAGTAGCACTACCATGTGCCCTGGCAAATTTGCACGCGCCCCCTCACCCCAAAAAACTAGAAAATTTAGAGAGTGTAGTGCACATTCCCATTTTTCCTTTTTTTATTGAAAAATGAGACATATTACATAAATTAAAATATCATTAATTATTTATATTAAAAAATAAAATAAAAATACCAAAATTCATAATTTTTCATTATCTATAAATAGAGACCACATTTGATAGATTTTTGAACACAACTAATTTTTCGTTTTTTCGTAATTATTTTATTATACTGACATATAATGAACATGTTAAATAACAAGATGAATATATTTTCAAATAAGATGAACATGTTACAGATTGCAGATTGAAATAATACATATTCATCTTATTTTATAACATGTTCATCTCATTTTGGTAACATATTCATCTTATTTTATAACATGTTTACCTTATTGTGTATGTAACATGTTCATCTTATTCTATAACATGTTCATTTTTATTATGTAACATGTTCATCTTGTTCTATAACATGTTCATTTTTATTATGTAACATGTTCATCTTATTCTATAACATGTTCATTTTATTATGTAACATGTTCACCTTATTGTGTATGTAACATGTTCATCTTATTCTATAACATGTTCATGTTATTATGTAACATGTTCATCTTATTCTATAACATGTTCATTTTATTATGTATCATGTTCATCTTATTTTAGAACATGTTCATCTAAATTTCATCTGTGAAAATGTAACATTTTCATCTTATTCTATGACATGTTCATCTTACTCTATAACATGTTCATCTTGTTATGTAACATATGCATCTAATTATAGATTTGCATCATAATCTTCCAATAAGATAAATTAATTATAAAAAATGATAAATTAATTGTGTTTCAAAAAATATCAAATGTGGTCTCTATTTGTAGAGAATGAAAAATTATGAAATGTAAGTAGATGTGCTTGCTCATGGTTGTGCCCAAGGTGTATTGATACAATGTCTTTATCTGGAAGGGTCTTGGTATCTGTTGCTGATGATGGTGAGACAGCTGTAGACGTATCCCTGTCTGATGAAACTCAAGAGAGTGTTGAACTGGTTGGGCGATATTCAACCTTTGTGTTCGACCGGGGAAAACGACGGGGGTTTCCTACCATGGATTCGACACCACACGCCGGCCACGGGATCGCGTCGGCTTCGAGGGCGAAGCCTTCCGAACCGGTGGAGAATGGTGTAGAATAATATTAGTAATATTATTATCATTAGCATTAATGATTATTATTATAATTTTTTTTATTTATCTTGGCTTGGTGGACAAGTCAAGGAGTAGGGTTTATGAGAACCTTATTTAAAGGACTCCCCATCTATTATTTGAAGTAGTTGATTATTGAAATGAAATATGATTTGATATCGTGCTTTGGTGTTCATGAGATTGCGATCTCATTAATATCGTGTCACTCGTACGCTTCCCTACATTACACACAAAATATACCAAGCTAAAAAGTTAGCATAATTAACAAAAACAAAACTGAAAAATCATTTATTTTCCAAAGTTGCATAGAGAGAGAGTCTTCCGGATGTAACTTATAGTCTCTCCCATTTTAGCATTTCAAAAATTTCTCATCACACATAATCCTAATGTTTACATGAAAATCTATGAATAAAAAAAGAAATCATTTTCCAACACCATAAGCTAGAATTGGAGACAAAATATGCAAAAGTAAACAGGTCAAAGATCTCGTGTTCATGCTCGGGTTATCTGCATTAATGACAGTCATTTGCTATGGTAACTTTGAACTTGTGTAGGCTCGTTACTTTCTCCTCATCCAAGGTGCCTCGCATGATCAGATCACGATGGATATTTGATTGCAATCGTGTTACTCATATGACTCGGGATCAAGATTAAGAAAATATTCAAGACAAAGATATAATCCATACCGGAGAGGATACCTTGTGGGCCCAGTCCTTAAACAAGGAGAAAATACGTTAGGAGTACGTTGTCGGCTGCATGCTCTGATATAGAATTTACTCTAACCATTATTCAATGTTTTTTCAATCTCCAATCGCCCGCGCAACATTTTACATGAATATTTACATTTTATTTTGATTATTTTAAATTAATTTTAATAACAAAAATATAATTTAATGAAATATATTATCTTACATATATTAGTTTTTTTAATTATCAATATATGATTGAAAAAAATTACAATTAAATACAACATTATTTATATCAAGATTATTTTATTTTCTTAGAAAGTTAATCAAGTATTTCTTACAACATTTTTTTAGAAGATTAATCAAGTATTTCCTACACCATCAACAAAGTTATAATGATTCTCAATGGGTAATCTAATTCATACAATTGTTACTAACAATATATGTAGATGTCAAGATTATTCATTTACTAACAATATATATATGTGTGTCAAAATTATTTTATTTACCATTAATATATACAATAAATAAATTTAAAATAAAATTATAATTAAATTATCAATTTTTAATAATATATAAGTTTATATTATAAAAACATTATATAAGATTTTTTCTATTAGTTTTAGTTTATTGTAGTAGGCTTCTTGTATAACAGTGTTATTAGTTAGGGAGGAAGCTATGCAAGATGGACTGATTTTCTTTTGAGTTATAAATTTGCTTGTTTGTTGTTGAAAAAAAAAAAGAAAGCAGCTCTAATCACAAGAATATTTGGCATTTTGAATCCGAAACAGAAAGTTATCATGACTAAAAACTAAACTTCAAAGAGTGTTATATCAGAGTCAGTAAGCATACTGGGCTCGATACGAGTATGCATTAAATCATATATATACTATTTATAAAAGCAATACCAAAACAAGAAACAGAGTGTTATATCACAGAGTCAGTAAGCATAATTAAATCATATATATACTATTTATAAAAGCAATACCAAAACAAGAAACATAATTTGTCGATTTTTCTCGAATCAATTTCTTTTACTATCCAAGCCATGACTAACACAATTCATTCCTCAAAGAAAACTACAAATCAAGTCGAAACAAAATATAAAGTGCATTTGAGAAGTTATTATATTACACCATCTGAAACTGCAAGTGGAATCTTATCATCAACAAGACATGAATATGTAATAGGAAGTAAAAAAGAGATTTACCTTGACAAACTTTCATCAATTGGTAAAAAGCAATTCTTCCAACACTCATGTTAATTCGCCTCAATTCTTTCAATATTTGAAGTTTTTCACTAGCTGTTGCAATGAGCATTCTCAAACCCTACTCCACCAAACAGAAACCAGTCTACTGGCTAGATCGCAAAACGACAATTTATAATCGACACTGCCATGCAAAAGATTTAGCGTTAAAGAGATTATTATGTGAACTAAAACTATGAACAAAATCCAGGCATAGAAAACTCAAACACAAAGGGACTCACCTAATGAAACTGAGAATTTACAGAATAACAAGAGAGAACATGAACAACCGCACAGACTTCTCGAAATATTTTGGAGGTCCCAAGGCATTGTTGATTCAATTCTTCCGCCAAAGAAAACAAACGGGCATAACAAATCAGCAACTCAATGAAAAATAGCTACATTCCAATATCACTAAAAACCCAACAACACGATACAAAAGTACACCACACCAGCAGCAACAGGATAAATCTAAAACAACGAACTTTAGTGGTTTGCATGTTAACCGACTTTGATTGTTAAGCACGACAATGAATCCTCCTTATCACCTGCAACGCATAAATAAAATAATACAATTAGCAGAAAAATATAAACTCTAGCGAAATAGATTTCAACTTTTGGGTGAATTTAAAAAAAAAATATTGAAAATGCGGCAAGAAATTTAAAAGAAAGATACAAAATGACTGAAACCCTATCGATTCTCTTGCCAGCAAAAACTACAGACAAAAAAAACCCTTCCTTTCAGAAAGAGGGAAATAGAGGCATACCTAGAATCGCAAACGTAGCGCCGCAAAAGAACTCAACAATTTCCATATGAAGGCCGATAGACGAACATGGAGAAGCAGATACTGGTGACGACGGCACACCCGAGAAACTTTTTTGCTAAATAAGAGTAATATATATGCAATACTTGAAAGAATCTAATAGGGAATGCTTAATGGTTTTGATGAAGATCGTTTTATGCTATTAAAGGATCTGAAATTATGCTTCTTGTGTCCATTCCAAATGCACATTCTCAATGCACCAGGGGAAACTCCAAAGAAATACTGAAGAATTAAAATGAAAATAAAACATTAATGATCAAGCAAGTATCCTCAATTAACAAAATCATTTGAATTGGCATAACATACGTTTCTAGCAACTTATTTCAGTCTCCAAATCAGGCACTATCAAAAAGGTATATATGTTTCCAAAAGACCCAATTTTATCATATGAATTGCAAATTAAACATCCAATTGTTCGTAAGAACTCAATCCGCAGCAGATTTTCATATTTTGCTACCTAAATGGACAGATTTCAGATCATCATGCCATTTTCCCGTAACATTTCAGATCATCAGGCACCATTTGAGGTGGTCGAGCTCAACTCGTGCTAGGTCAAACACAAGCTCAAGCCAAGCTTTGACTCGAATGCTTGCAAGCCGCTCTCATTTGCATCTACCAGTCTCCCTCAATTAGCAGTCTATTTACCAGACCTTTCCTTTGCAGCAGGCTCCTTTTTCCTTCCATAACATCCCAAATTCAAATTAATTTTGCCACCGATACCACATGAAAAATGAAAAAGATAATTCGTAATTAATTTGAAAATACGAATTTATGGGATGCATGATGTGTTTTGAATAGAGATTAACATAAATAATCTTGAATATTCATCCTTTTTTAACCTTTTATCCAAAACCTGGCCGTGGGTTGTTAAGACGTATTTAATAGAATGGTCACAAATTTCAGGGTACAATATAATAAAACAAATTGAAACAGAAACAAACAACTTAGCAAATCTGTTGAGAGGAATCTCATCCTAAATCTCTCCAAGAAAACTGAGCACATGTAACTGAAAATGACATTACAGAAATCAAATATGTATCCAAATCTAGGCACCAGCAACTTCAGTCGCCTCAATTTGTTGCAGCCTATCTAGCTTCACACCAATTTCTTCATGATCTCCATGAACCTACAAGTTGCAGCCATATTAGAAATTAAAATCAAGCTTTATAAATTTCCAAGAACGACAGTGGAAATAAATTCTCAAGGGAGAGTTTACTTTGAAACAACTCATCAGATATTAAGAGTGACCAAAAACAATAAATGGTGTTCGGTAGATTCCCAACCAACCAAGCATTCCTAAGATTGAGCTTATAAATCTTTTAAATTTGCCTAGCAAAATAAACTTTTGAATGAATTTCAGCTACCAATTTTGTGAACAGTCATTTAAATCAGCATGAGGTGGGAGATTGGGTAAAAGGAAAAAGCTAAGCCACACCCAAACTGTTCCTTGGAGAATAAAGTATCAATCATTGAAAAGAAAAAACATGCAATCACTCAACATATCACATATAAATGTAAATAAGAACTAGAATAATAAAAAGATTAGCAGCTTTCAAGTCCCGAAATGTTGTTCTAGTGTAAAAAGTTCAATCCCTTCGATACGTCAATGGCTACTTTCAGAAAATTTGGAAGCTTAAAAAACACCCATGCTTGTGTAAATAGTCGTACACTCCCTCCATACATGTGTTCTGCAATTAAAGAAAACATGTAAAACAAACTTGTTGAAATGGAAAAACAAATAGTTTATCAAGTATTAACTAAGGAATTTTCCTCTGCAATTTTCAAGAAAAATATCATCTAAACTCCATTAGACTGCATCGAATTCACTCGATTCTGGATAACATGACAGTGTCAGAACAATGATGCGAGGACTGAACAAAACAAAAAGGTCTTTGTCAATTAAAATTATATATATATATATATATATATATATATATTGTTCAGAGAGAACCAAGTCAGATGCATTATTCACATGCTGACGCCCATTTGATATCCCAATTTGAATGAGTTCTATGATGTTTGGCCAATTGCAGACGACTCTTCTGCCTTAGCCTCCCTCTTCCCCCCAAAGTTGGAATCACAAAACTACTTAAATTCCTGTATAGCCCAAAAGAAAAAACTCAATTTTATTGTGCCAGAGCATACGATCTACCACTGGAAATCGAAAACAAACAGACGAAGAAAAACAGATGTAATTCAGCAGAAGATCCAGCATCTCAAATACCTAATAAATTAGTCAACCACTGGTTATCTCCATTGACAATCAAGTAAATATTCCAAAAACAAAATAAAAAAATCCAAAGTAACTCAGATCCCATCAAAATCCAATTACAGCTATTGAAGCCATCAATCTGCAATTCGTCAAGTACAATTGATCTACAGTCATCTTCAGCTGCAAATTAAAGCTAATACCTAATTGCATTACCACAAGCTCAAACAAACACACAATCATTAGCGAATCTGTGTTTCAGATACATTATTCAATCCACGAGCAATCAAACACCAAAATCGATCGGTCGAGCATATAGATACAGCATTTGGATAAAGCGGAATATGAAGGAAAGTGGACGGAACCTGAAACGATGGGAGGGCAAGGGCTCATCCGCCATTACCGACTGTGGAGATATTAACATTTTGGTAGGTTTTGGTTATTAAAAGGGTCAACTTTCAATAAGGAAAGGTCTGACTGGGCCGGGCCGGCCCTCCCCATGCATGCAGCACGCTCAACTAAAATCCCCTCCAAAACCCCGTTCATAATCCTTCTTGCTCTGTTTCTCCAATTGAAATCCCGTACAACCGTTGAAAAACATTGAAATAAGATCCGAGTACACGAATGAACGAAGATAGCAAATCTACACGAATGAATAACATTGAAATAAGATCCGAGTACACGAATGAATGGACATAGCAAATCTACATGAATGAATGAACATAGCAAATTTCTTCTTTCAGCGGGTCATCAGTCTACTATGCCTGCCACGTGGCGAGCCTCAGCTTGCAGCCTACTTTCCTCCTTAACTGGAGAAATAACAAAACTCAAACAAATATCACCTAGGAAAAACTCAGTATCAAGCATGTAATACTAAACTAAAATTACCATCAACTCCAATTCATTCTACAAAATATATTTTAAGCATGGAATGCAAATCAATATATTGAAATCTTATATGATCTATATTTGTAAATTGTATTGTAAATTGTATTAAAATCTACAAAATGGGATATAAATAATTTTTGTAACCAAATTTAATATTAGACATCTACCATAACAGTACAACACATGGATAGACTGGTATGCCTGCTTTCGAGGTAGTTTGTACACTCAGGGTAAGGGTGCTTCACTTAGTGATGATTTGGTAACTCTACTTGTAATATATTTTATTTCATTTATAAAATAAATTAACTGACCAATTATTATTTAGCATTTCTTAAAAAATGTGAAAAAATGATTAACTATGAATTCGATCAAGTTAACTTACATTCTTAAATAACACCAAAAATTATTGAACACAAATTGGTTAAGTCAATGAATTTTCCATTATTATTTGGCATCCTTATCAAAAAACATATAATTATACAATTACTTAGGGTGTGTTTGTATATCAATTATCTCAATTCATACTCAAAATCTAACTTAAATTTAACTCAACCTCACTATCCTCAATTTTATCAATAAAATTAAATAATACCAACCAATTAACATATCACATAAACTTTAATTCATTTTTTTGAACTTTAATTATTTTATTTTAATAAAAATTCAAAATTTCACGAACAACTAATCATACCAACCTTTTCAAAATTAACTATAGTTAACAAAAAATACTCGTTTTGAGCAGATATATTTGTATACAAACATGCCCTTAAACAAATCTAGAAACTTCGTCCAAATTACCAACTATTAGGGTTTCTAAAACTCCAAAACATAATAACCACAATTACACTAAAAATTTCCAACTAATTTACCAATTATTAGGGTTTCTAAAACTCCAAAACATAATAATCACAATTACACAAAAAATTTCCAACTATTAGGGGTTTCCAACAGTCCAACATAGAAGCACAATTATATTGAAAATTTCCAAAGTCCAAAAGAGATGCACAATTACTGTCGGCCCAAACCAAAAGCTACAAGAAAAGTACGGACACATTGAATTGACCAAACAAATCCAAGAAAATCCCCGAGCATCAAGAGTCCAAAATTTAAAAAACCACACAAGACCCAAAAAATTAAAGAAAACAAGGCCCAACAAACCAGATTATAATACACAGAGCGAGAGAGATGATTCAAAAAGGAAAAACTTACGATTGTTCAGCAGTATAGCGTAGAAATCGACAGCGAAAATGTGGGGCAAGTCAATTAATTTTGCAGAAAACCTGAGGACAATCCTTTCGGGATTTGCGTACGGGAGTACTTCTTCTCTCAACATGAAGTGAACTGCAATCTGATCTTGATTCGCCTGAAAGATGTCGAGAATAGCATCTGTCACGGGCTCGGCATCATGAACCCTCCCCCGCAGTTCCATTAGCATCTTGTATGGCCTCAACATTTCGGCCACTTTTCTGATGCGCTCGCTATGTTCCTTGATCCGTTGCTCAACCTCCAGGGAGGTTCTCAGGGCTATGTGACATTTCAGGGTCTTTGATATTGCCTTGGAAAAAGGATCGTTGAGTGCTCTGATAGAGTCAGTCTGATATGCGGATGTGTAGTTCGATGAGTGGCATCAGCATGTTTTCTCCTCATCCATTTTCTTTTTCTTTGTTTTTTCTCTCTTCTGAATAGATTCTTTTTTCGTCGAGAAACAGAGTATTTTTTTCTAAGAAATAAGCAGAGAAAAAGGGCAAAAGGGAGGATTATGAAGAAGGAATTTTATATGAGAATAGTTGGTTTTCTTTTTTAAGTTGGTGAAAAAGAAAAAAATGGCAGAGATCAACTAAAATCCCCTCCAAAATCCTCTTACTCTGTTTCTCCAATTGAAAAACGCCTAAAAAAAAATCCATCTTCTGTCATTTTTTTTTGTCACCAACTTAAAAAAGAAAATCGACTATTCTCATATAAAATCCCTCCGAACCTAGTTCATAATCCTCCCTTTTGCCCTTTTTCTCTGCTTCTATGTTAGAAAAAAATACTCTATTTCTCGACGAAAAAAGAACCCTGCTGCCCATGGAAGAGAGAAAAATAAAGAAAAACAAAATGGATGAGGTGAGAACAGCTGATGCCACTCATCGAACTACACATCCGCATATCAGACACTGACTCTCTCAGAGCACTCAGCGATGCTTTTCCCAAGGCAATGTCAAAGACCCTGAAACGTCACATAGCCCTGAGCACCTCCCTGGAGATTGAGCAACGGATCAAGGAACAGAGTGAGCGCATCAGGAAAGTGACCGAAATGCTCAGGCTACGCGAGACGCTAATGGAACTACGGGGGAGGGTTCATGATACCGAGCCCGTGGCAGATGCTATTCTCGGACATCTTTCAGGCGAATCAAGGTCAGATTGCAGTTCACTTCATGTGGAGAGAACAAGTACTCCCGTACGCAGAGCTCGAAAGGATTGTCCTCAAGTTTTCTTCAAAACTAATTTACCTGCCCAGCATTTCCGCAGCTGATTTCTACGTTATACTGCAGAACAATGGTAAGTTTTTCTTCTTTCAATCATCTCTCTCGCTCTCTTTTTTCAATCATCTCTTCAGCCCCTCTCGTCATCGCTCTTCTCCTCGTCACCTTCCTTCTCTACCCTCCAAGAAAAAAAAACTATAATTCTCTCCCCTCTTCTCATCGCTCTTCACCTCGTCACCTTCCTTCTCTGCCCTCCATTTCTAAGAAAAAACCAATAATTGGTCTATCAAATCAATTGCAACTCTCAAGGATCTGAAAGAGGAGGAATCAAGACTCTACAGAGTCTTGGAGATGATGGAGAAGTCAGAAACCATCTAACTCAAACTGCGCGTGTTTCAAAAGCACCAAATTTTAGACGAAATCGAAGAACATGATCTGGTCGAAGATGCTAATTAGGATCTGCTAGAGAGAAATCCAGCTGAGGACCTAATGTGGACTCACTTGCTGACCAAAGAGGACGTGGTGGAGTTCAAGAAGGCAATCGCAGACGGTAAGTTCTTCTTTTTCTTGGTTCTGTGGACCCATTTGAATTGTTTGACTGAATGTGTACTCTAGATAATGACTAGGAAATGTCATTTGTTAATAATTTCAGCGCCAGAAGAGGAAGTTGATGGGTCGGCATAAGATACAGTGAAGATGGAGGATGAGATTTGGGCCGACGCTAAGTTTTTATTATTTTTCTTTCAATAATTTGTTTGGCCCATTGAAGAGGGTTAGGTTTGGAACGTCTTTCCATATATAATGAACGAGTGTGGATTAAAAATTCCACAGAAAAAAAAAATATAACCTAATTTTGAATTTCAACTTGCGAGGAGATATTCTTGAGCCGGCGACTGCGGAGGCTAGAGCAGAGGCGGAGATGAGGATTGCAGCCGCTGAAGGAGAGATGGCTGTGGCCGGAGTTAATCACAACAATGAAAGGCATATTTTGGCTCTTTGGCTAGTTTCTTGATTAGGGAGGATATAATTCTTGAGCCAGTGACTGCGGAGGCTGGAATAGAGGCGGAGAAGAGGATTGCAGCCGCTGATGGAGAGATGGTCGTGGCCGGAGTTGATCACAACAATGAAGGCATATTTTGGCTCAAGTGCAATCCTCTTCTCTGCCTCTGCTCCAGCTCCGCAGTCGGCGGCTCAAGAATCATATCCTCCCAAGCTGAAATTTAGAATTAAATTATATTTTGTTTTTGGGGAATTTTGAATCCAAACACGTTCGTTATGTATGAAAAGACGTTCCAAACCTAACCCCAAGTCAGCCTAAATCAACAGGTCAAACAAATTATTGAAAGAAAAATAATAAAAACTTACCGTCGGCCCAAATCTCATCCGCCATCTTTACCGTATCTTCTGTTGGCCCATCAGCTTCCTCTTCTAGCGCTGAAATTATTAACAAATGACATTTTCTAGTCATTATTTAGAGTACACATTCAGTCAAACAATTCAAATGGGCCCACAAAACCAAGAAAAAGAAGAACTTATCCTCGGCGATCACCTTCTTGAACTCCACCACGTCCTCTTTAGTCAGCAAGTGAGCCCACATCAGGTCCTTTGCGGGATTTCTCTCCAGCATGTCCTTAATAGCAGCATGTCCTTAATAGCAGCTTCGACCAGATTATGTTCTTCGATTTCGTCAAAAATTCGGAGCTTTTGAAACACGCGCAGTTTGAGTTCTGAGATGGTTTCTGACTTCTCCATCATCTCTAAGACTCTGTTAAGTCTTGATTCCTCCTCTTTCAGATCCTTGAGAGTTGCAATTGATTTGATAGGCATGTTTTCAGTTTTTGGTTTTTTCTTGGAAATGAAGGGCAGAGAAGGAAGGTGACGAGGAGAAGAGCGATGACGAGAGGGGAGAGAATTATAGTTTTTTTTTTACTTCGAGGGTAGAGATGGAAGGTGACGAGGAGAAGAGAGATAACGAGAGGGGCTAGAATTATATAGTTGGAGGGGAGATATTATTATTTTAAACTTGAACGAGAGAATTTGGTAGTTT